GGCAGGTTTGGCGTTTAACCATCCAAATGTTTTAAAAAGCTGTTAAATTAAATAAGTTTGATCTTGAATGGTTTTATATTATCGTAACGCTTTTCAATGAAGTAACAAAACACTTCTGAATAATTTTTAAAATAAGTATTAATATAATAAAACTGTTTTTTTTTGTTTATATAATTGCATATTTTTTATGAGAAATGTTTATCTTTAGAAACATATGAAATAAAAACAAAAACAAAGTACAAAAGTGAAAATAAAGATGATGGTTTTTTGATGCGTTAACTTCTGTGAAAGTCTGGGGTGTATATAAATAAATATATTTAATTGTAATAGAAAGTAAAAGTTAACAAACTTTGTTAATCTTTTTGACCTAAAGTTCAGTTGAATGTTACACCCAAGGTTTAAAAAGGCGTAAGGCGTATTGAAGCTTAATCGATTAATATGCTTTTTAAAGTCGATTAAAGTCAACACATATTTGAAACCGACTAAGTCGAATAAAAGTTGATTTAGTCAAAATATGTGAATAAAATATTTGAAATGATTGCAAGTTAAATTTTTAATAAAGATTAATCAAGTAATTCAGGGCCGGATACCACAGTTTTAGGACTGGGGCTGTAAATAAAGGGGTTTTCTTAAAAATTACTCATCAGGAGCGAGAGTATACAGGAGTTTTTGCTGAGCTGAAGATCCTCAGCCACACGGGTATAGCCGCGAGTTTGGGGGCTAGACAGTTCCCCAAGCAGGAGATAAAAGTCTGTACAATCACGTTTACACTTTAATTATCGCAGAACTCTATTCAACTCGGAACGGCCCTGTATGCATGTTATACGGCTGTACGAACGGCCCTGTATGCATGTATTTATGAAAATGAAATGCAAAGACAAAACAAACAAAAAAAAGCAAACAGATTGCCGATAAGTTTATTAAGTTAAAACGTTTCCTCCTATCCACTGAAGCCTATCCGCTTTCTTCATTGCCCGAAATTTCTCTCGACAGACCTGCTGCATACCTCATAACATAATGTTATGAGGTATGCAGGTCTGCCGAGAGAATTTTTGGGCACTAAAGAAAGCGGATGGGCTTACTCATGGTGGATCCTCGTTAAATGATGGATCATATATTCAGGACCATTAGAGGTGGAACCTTACAATTAAATCTTATGGCTTCAGATGAGGTAAGATATCAAAAAAAGAAAATGGTAAAGTAGTAATTTTTATAAAAAAGGATAGAAAAAGTATGTAAGATGAAAACAATATTATTTGTACAAACAAGCTGTAAATTTATAAATTAGTAAAGAAAAAAAAGAAATGATCAATCATAGCGAGCCGCAATTGATTTTGCAATTCCATGTAATAAATTTAATGATTAGTTAATACAATTATACGGACATATGAGTATAAGATACAATTTAATTATACAATATCAGAATATATAATTTAGATATATATTTATAAATTTTATTAAATCCACCATTATCATTATAATACATTCATTTTCTTAATAAAAGTAAATAATACGCCGACTAAACAATATTTTGTTCATAATAATATATATATATAACAAAATATTATCAAAGTCTAAAAACGAACTCTATAAAATAAAATATTTTTTAAAGTCTTATTTTAGCTTTCAATTAATCGCTTTTTATAATGCGTTCCATATGAACGCACTAATTCAAATCGAATTTAATTATGTTGTCTGTTTTGTAATTACTAACTCTAAGTGCATTCCTGGAACTAAAAAAATTGCTTTAAAACGTTTGAAGCAAACTATAATTTTAAAAAATGTTGTTGGAGCAAGACTAAAAGCTAGAGTCGATGGCCGAGGCTGAGCTCGATGCAATACGATGAGTTACGAGCAGCCCAAAATCGAAGCTTGATGAAGCGCAGAAAACCAGAAGATGGCGCAGAAGACCAGACAAAGGGTTTCTTGCAGTGGAGGATTTCGGGGGCCTGAATCGGACAATAATGCCCTTATTAGGGAAAACAAAGTTCACGTACGACATACGTGGCCTTTTTAGGTTTATTATAAATAAGGGGCTGTCCATTAAATACGTTAACAATTTTTTTGAAATTTTTACCTCCTCCTTGTCAACAATTTGTCAAATTTTCAGAGACCCCCTATAAAATTACGTTAATTTTTTATTACCCCCTCTTCCTATACAAAGATGCTACGCTACAAACTTAGCCTAATTTTCCGTTATTTAAGCAATGAATCTGAAAAAAAAATTGTTGACATCAACTTTAAATGACCTTCACCCCTCCCCTTTGTCAACAATTGTCAAAAAAGTTCAGACCCCCATCCCCCTATTTTGTTGACGTAATTAATGGACAACCCCTTAGGCATCGCCTCAGGAAAGCCTCAGCGCTTCAGCGCCTCATTGAACCAATAAAGGCGAACGTTTTATTAATTTGAATGAGGCTTACGCCTTAGTGCGAAAATCCAACGTCTCACACTGAGGCGTACGCCTCACCGCCTTGAGGCGTAGTTTTTTTAAACCATGGTTACACCTAATAAAAGATCCTTTTTAATGAAGAATCATTTTTTTGTCTGTTTCCGTTTGTAAATTTACATCACCGTCTGTTTCCGTTTGTAAATTTACGACCATATTTTAATTTTGTCCATTTCATATTAATTTTTTTTATTTTGTTTACTTTTATTCTATTTATTCTAGGTTACATGACTAAACGTGTACTATTCATAAAAATTTCATATCTATTTTATATACTTCAAAAAGATTATAAATATTTATACTTAAGACTATATTTAAAAAAAATATGCAGCTAACTATCAGTTTGTTTAACTGTGTTGTTATACTGCATAGATAGTTTGTTAACTGCATAACAACAACAAAACAACAAAAAAACAAAAACAAAAAAACAACACATATTTTATAATTACCCAAGGATTGTACAATACCTTAGGGTTTTGTGAAAAAATTGATGTTGTTGACTAAAAAATCAAAATACAATAATAAGAACTAATAATAAGAATAAATTGTAATTCTTATGAACCAAGATCAACCACAACACTACTTAATTGTACCTTATTTTTATATGATTTGTGAAGAATTTCATGGAACTGCTGATCAACCCTGTCAACGCAACTTACGCACGATTTGTAAGCCTTTGATATCGATGATGCTGAATTGACAGAGTGTAAACAATTTTTGCTTAACCAGACACCTTTTTTATGTTGGTATTTTAAGGCTATTATTTCTTTATTTGTGTTCCTGGTATTGAAAAAGCAGACGGTACCACCATTTAAGTTGCTTTTTTTTAATAAAAATTACATTTTTATTACACTATTTTTGAAAATATTTTGAAAATTTGGTTTTCTCAAATGTCATATAAATTTTATTTTGAATAAATGGATATTGATCAAACATAAAAGATAACCTGGTCACAGCCTCATCGAACCTTGGATCTGCAGTTTTGGTTCTGAGCAAAACCTCTAACCACTAAGCCATTGCTGTTTAACTGATAGCACATTAAATCTTGTCGTGTTCATTAAGATTCTTATGTTGTGTACTTAACCTTTAGCAAAACTATTAGGGTGAAAGAATAACTCAGTCAGTTAACATTATAGTGGAAGAATAACTCAGTTGGTTAACATTTGGTTCAAGTGTTAAACAAAAAATCTGAATCTGGAAAAGTCGTGTAATACAAGATCAAATCTGGTTGTTGCTAAGCCAACGCATAAGTAGTACTTCTGTATGCAAAATAGTTTGTCAACAATGAAAGCTCCTTAGGATTAGTCTGGTAAGACTATTTTTAGCTTCTCATTTATTAAACCAACAATATCTTCAGATGTATTAAATAAAATTTCTAAAACACTTAGAATTATACATAAGTTATTACAATTGGCATAATTGACTCTAATAGTTGCATATATTTGATAATAAATTAAATTTTGAATGTAATATCAAATATATATTAATATTATTTGAGGATGAATCAATATTATTCCTGCAATTTGAGATATTAAAACAAATAGGAAATAAACCTTGTATAATGTAAAACACCACCTTTTCTTATATAATTAGATATACACTTTAAACAAGTATATAATCACAAGCTCTTTCTTTAACTTGTCTTCTTTGATCATTCTTTTAGTAATAATTTAGTAAACTCTTACTAAAGTAATAAAAACTTAAGTCTTTTTAACACATTTTCTAACAGTCTAATGATTTTATCGTTAGTTTTTTAACAATAATTCCTTTAACTGCCAGTCAATAGATTTTACTTAAAAAAGCTAAAGTTCTCCTTTAAAAAGAAAACTTTTAATCCTTATGTTCTTTCAAACTATTTCAACAAAAAAATTATATATATTTTTTTAAATTTGTTATTTTTCAGTGTCATATAAATTTTGCTTTGAGAAAATGCATAAAGATAAAAAAAACAACCAGTAAACACAAGATATGTTTAACACATCTAAAAAACACAAGATATATCAAACATCTAAAAAATACAAGATATGTTTGATAGAAAATTCCTTTTTTTTGAAAGATCAAAAAAGGCCAGTAAACACAAGATATGTTTAACACATCTAAAAAACACAAGATATATCAAACATCTAAAAAATACAAGATATGTTTGATAGAAAATTCCTTTTTTTTGAAAGATCAAAAAAGGCCAGTAAACACAAGATATGTTTAACACATTTAAATAATGTCTTGAGTTTACTTGGTGTTTTAAAAATAATTTTAAATTAAACTTTTTTTTTTTTAACTTAGAAATATGATATGTTTAACTTAGAAATATGATATGATTAATAAAGAATTTAAATACTTAGAAATATAATACGCCTAATAAAGACTGAATATTTAATATAACACTTGTGTTAAACCCTTGTAATGATTTTATACTTAAAAAAATACCTAAATAAGTATTTTTAGAAAAACATTTTTGATACATTTTTAATGCAAGTTATAGCATCAAAATATATAGGAATTGAAATTAAAGTATATATCATACATCATACAGAAGTGTGAAACATAATACCTGTATTGTATTATACCCTAATTGAAACTTAAAAATACAAAACAACAGATTCCACACAGTAAATTCAGGCCATAATGAATCAACAAAGCACAATGTAGAAAATGATGTCTAAAAAGGAAAAAAAGAAAAAAAATTCATATGGTAATATAATAATAAATATATATAAATGTCTTATTGTTTATTTTTGTTTTTAAAAATATTAACGCCTTTAGTTAAACACTTGTGTGATTTAGACAGGTTTCAAGTATGCCATTTTCTTACTTAAATGTAACATTATGGTGAAGTTGAGGCTATTTTAAAAACAAGATGCCTTTCCTAACATTTTTATGTTACAATTTTCCTCCTCCCAGATAAGTAGCCTTAACCACAAAAGAGTCTTACATGTCTACTTATGACAATAAAATTAAAAATTAAATATATAATTTCTTATGATGGTCAAAATAACCAAATAAAAGTTACAAAAAAAAAAAAAAAAAAAGATGATAAAAACAAAAAAATTTTATATAAAAATAATAAGATATTTAGAAAACAAATTTTACATTATGGCTTGCTTTGATTTACCTGCCAAAGTAAAAAATCACTAAGCCGCACTTCACCAGATGTTCTAATAACCATGTCAACTGGTTTGCATTTATTAGTATAAAAACAGTTTTCAAGCAACTCCTCGTCAATATCACTATAGCAAAATGAAAAAACAAACAACAAATTAAAATTTGAAAACAAATTGTATAATAAAAATGGCGATAAAAGTTATAGTTATATAAAAATAAACATGATGTAAAATGATGCAAAAAATAAAAACATAAATTAAATTTATCTAGTTAGGTAAATTATTATTTGTGAAATTCAAAACATGTTTAGTAGATGTGGTAATAAAACACTACAACTATGTGCAAGATCATAACTATGTGCAAGATCACTTTTATGAGCAAGATAGAATCCCACTATATTGTTAAAGTAATGCTACACTCAACCAAACGTAACAAGTGTAAATTATCATAGATAACATCTGTAGTTTCTGTTCCCTTTTATACTCTTTGTAATGCAAGTCATTAAAATACTGTCTAAACTTAATAAATATATATTATTTAATGCATTAAAATTTGTATATATTATTTAATGCATTAACAAAAAAAAATTTTAACTAGCAGGCAAACTGCTTTAAGAACATATAATTTTGGGAAAAATTAAAGTATATAGTTTATTTGAATGTTATCATAATCAAATAGTCATAATAAATTCACTTTTACAAACACAAAAAAGTTCTTATTGAAAGATGAACTTAGCATTGAAAAAAACAAAAAAATTAAAGTAAGCTTATTAAAATTAAGCTCATTAAAATTTAGCCAAGAATAATTCTACAAATGTAGTGAATTAAAAAAAAAACAACTAAACTTTTAACTTATTTCAAAAACAAATTTTGCAACCAAGTCCGATATAATATGTTATTTAATAATGTCAAAATTGTGTTTTTTATTATTTTTATATAATAAATTTTATATATTATTTTTATATAATAAAATTTTATATATTATTTTTATATAACAAAAATTTTTTAATATTATTTTAATAAAAATTTAATTCTGTACCTAATACCTATTTTTTTAGATTTTAATAGTTATGTTAACTTTATGACTAAATTAGCTTCTTTAAATATATCTATATAAAGTTAAAATTTAAATAAAATATTATTTATAACTGTAAGCCTATTAATAAAATATCCAAATTATTTTAAATATGAAATTTTAGCAACCTTTCCAAAATCATTCCTTTATCAACACCTACTGCAATTTCTCTAATAGCATAAGTGATTTCATCTCGTGAGGTATATGCCATAGCAATATTTAAAAAAGACCTGCAAAAAATAATATTATTTAAAACCATGTTTAAATTTAAAAAGTAATAAAATAAATACAATTTTAATATCAAAATAAAATAATTTTAAAAATTTAAAAACAAACCTATTATTGTTTTTGGTTAGATTGATGACTTTAAAAATAATTTCACGAATATCATCATCAAATAATGCAATGTTGCCAATAAAACGAATGCAAACACTATACTCTGTGAGTTCATCCCTGTTACAAAAAATTTTTAAGTCAAATGTGCATACATAATCATTCTCTAAATTTAGCAAATATGGAAGGACAGAAAATTTTGTTATTATTTTTTTAAAAGCAGTCTATATGGTCTTGCAGGAAAAACTAATATGAAGAGACAGAAGAGGAATCTAAACAGTTGTTTTTTAAAAGACTTTTAATTTCCTAATATTTTCTCAATACTTTAATGTCAATTTTTCATCTCTATATTTTAATATCAATTTCTTAATTTTAATTGTCTTTTTTTAAATTTATTACTAAAAATTATGTCTTTCTTTAAAAAATATTTCAATTTACATTTTATTTAGCATATAAGAAAAAAAGAAGAAAAAAAAACTAATCTAAAGGTAAAACTTACACAACTTTAAAGTACAGAAGTACAGAGAACAAGTACAGAGTAAATAACCCCATGTCTCTATGTATAGAGTATTGTTTTTCAACATTTATTTTTTTGTTATAGTGGTGAAAGAGGCGTATAATAACTAAGAAAAATTAATAGATAGATGATAATTACCATTAAAAGAAGATAATTACTATTTGCTAAAAGATATTCATAACATAGTAAAACTGTTATACAACTTGTTTATGCTAATAAAAAATAATTGTAAAATAAAGAATGAAAAAAAAAAATACTGGTATAATAAGATGCAAAAAGTAAAAAAATTCGATTAATAAACAAATTAAAAAAACAAAATGTGAGAAAAAAAACTGGGGTCATACTTAGTTCATATAAGAAGTTTAAAAAATAAGTTGATAATTTATGTAAAAAATCTACTACACTTATGTACTTTACATATAAATTAATATGGAGCCAGAGTTTAGTAGGAACTATATAATATATTGTTATATATATTGGGCTTATGCTAAACTCTATAAATAACAAGTATATTACTTAAATATTTTATACCTAACAACATTGGAATTACAATCTTTTGACAAAACTTAAAAAAAAAATAATTATTAAACAAAAATTGTTAAATTGAAATACAATTGATTATTTTGTACATATTATTATATATTACACATCATATTTATTTAAAAAGTAAAATATTTATTAAAAGCTTGAAAAACCTTTTCTTTTTTTATCTAACCATTTTTGAAATTTTGTTAGTCGATTAATGTAACTGCTAATGGATAAATTTTTTTTATGTATGTGATTTTTTACATGAAGCAAGGTGATGCCAGGTTGGATATTTAAGTCGAAATAATTGAGGAAATTTGATAGAACTGTCAAATTTCTTAATTATAAAAGATCTATCTTTTAAATTTTTTCACTATCATAACGCATAAATTTGTCCTTTGCTCATAAAGCCAAAATAATGTCTAAGATATCAATGATGAAATTGATCAGCTTAAAAACAGTTTTAATCAAATTACACTCATGCAACCCCTATAAAATTTTTAAGTTATGTTATGTCTCAATCAGTTACAATTGGTAACAAGGTTACATTCTCTAACTTTTAATTAAATAAACTTGATAATGCAGTAAATGTTTTTAAAGTGTAACCAATTGAGATGTAAAGAATCTAGATTAGAGACGTAACTAAAATACGTCTCAAAAATGGATTTTTTTAATGTTATGTTAAGCCTGAATTGGTTAAACTTTATTAGGTAATTTAAATTTAAAATAAGACGTGTTTAAAAAAACTAACGCAAAATAATTTATATTTGTGTTGCTTTTTAATTACTTATTTAAAATTACGTAACATAACGTTAAGATATACAAAATGAGTTATAAAACAAATAAATAAATTGTTTGTACGTTAGTATTTTTAAATATAACTATTTTATTTACACAAGTGTTGACAAATGTAATAATGCATTTACAATATTGTTGATAAATAGTATAATTAATACAACAAACTTGTTAAATACTATAACTCATTAATGAGTTATGGTATTTACAATGTATTTGTCATGATAATTGTTATTAAAAATATATTTTTTTAAATATGCGTATTGCTATAGCTATATGCGAATTAAAAAAGTTTTTTTTTGATGATAATTATCATTGTTTATTTAGGTTTTAGTATTACTTAAGGTTACTTAACTTTTTTTTATTACAAATTTGTCAAAAAAAAAAAAGTTTCAATTCGCAAAGTCTCGATTTGTTATTTTTTAAACTTGCAACAGTTCTGTTATAAAATTTCTGTTTAAGAATTTTATAACGTTACATTATGTTTTATTTGGTTATAGTTTATAAATTTATGTTTGATCATCTCTAAATAAAACCCACAAGTAATCTAATCTAATTATGTTATAAGAAATTTTTTGTTTTTATTAATTCTTGTAAAGGAAAAAACATTTAATTATAATGTAGTTAGATCAGAATGCTTGTGGGTTTGATTTAAAAAGAAACTATTCCTTATAACAAACAACTGCATATTGTGAAAATATGTGTTACATAATTTATAAACAATCTACATTTGTCACGGATTTGCTGTTGTTACATATTAAAACTCTAGATTTATAATGTATCATACACAAACCATCCTTGAGATCAAAAAATAGTATAATATCAGTTTTTATGACTAAATGGAGTCATATCTAATGAAAATCTAATTGTAGAAATAAATAATCATACTAGAACCTAAATTGTTAATTTAATCAAATTATCCTAATCACATGGCAATTATCCTAATCACGATGGCAATAGTTGCATTGATTTTTACAAAAATCAATGCAATGAAAAATGCCGCTGAAATTATGACAATAAATCACACCAATAATAAACTCATCAGTTAATCTAATTATAGTAATTTATATTCATCATTATTCATCAGATTTCTAAAGATTTACATGTTCTTGAACTTAAGCAGAACAGTAGGCTTTTTTACTAGTTAATAAATTATTCCTTTTTGACTGCCTGGTTGAGCCATACCCCTTTGTACTTGCATCTACACTTCATTGTGCCTGTCCCTATTTGAATCAGTCGATGTATGAACAGTTAAAAAGTTACTAAGTCTTTAGACTTAATAAAGCTCTTGTTGACGTAAAAAGAACAAACAAGTATTTTTTTTTTGCAGCAAAAAAAAAATAGAGACAAAAATTTTTTATATATATATATATATATGTTTTTTTTTGTTATTCACCTCCTCAAGGATGAGAAGGCCACTACAGACGAGGAGGCTACTTAATAGTGGTTATAACCCTCTCTCAACTCTATAACTCCGAAACACGAACCTTGAGAAACAAGGCTGCTGCGCGGAGAAACAAGTTGAGCGCGGTACTACCAGGGACATAGTGGGGATCGAACTCGGAACCTCTCCCTTATGAAGCGAGTGTTTTACCACTACACCACTACCACGCTATATATATATATATATATATATATATATATATATATATATATATATATATATATATATATATATATATATATATATATATATACACACACACACATGTTATGTCTCATTAAATCTAAATTTCATGCATCGATACAAATTATGTTGTCTCGGTTACATAAAAATAACGGACATTTTGCACATAACAATACATTACAGTGTTGGGTATCAATATGTAAAATCTTACATCTTGGTTACATAAAAATAACAGACATTTTGCACGTAACGTAACGAATTTGGGTTACAATACAATATGTAACGCAACTTAAAAATGTTATAGGGGCAAGTGTTTTAACTCTTTACGAATATTTAAACCAAATCAAAATTAGATTAACCATTTGTTAAATCAAAATTAGAACAAGCGTTCATTAAATTTTAAATCAAAAAATGTTCAACATATCTTTGTGTTTTTGTGTAAACAAAATAAAAATTTTTAAATCTGAAATATGTATGTATGAGGGTGTGTTCGAACACACATCTGTGTGTATTTAAAAAAGGTTAATCAATTATTATTTTAACAAATATTTTAATTACTAAAAACTATACTTTTTTTCCAAAAGTTTGTTCAATTCTTTTTTAAAAATTTCCAATAAAGTATCAACTTCGTCTTGAGACCTTTTAAAATTTTCAATACTAAAAGCATAAACTGTAACTTCTGGTATCCCAAGTTCATAACACCATTGAAGAACCTATAATAATGAAATTGGAGTGTGGTACACAAATGAAACTTTTTAAAAACTATACTATTTGTTTTAATTTTATGTCCAAAAAAATAAAAAAATATGCTTTAAGAAAAATAAAAAAAATAGGATTTTATTATTTTACTAAAAGTTTATGGAAAAACCTAGAGACTTATTCTACATGGTGAAATAAACTCAAATAAGTAACAGAGTAAGTCATTTGTCTTGTTTATTTAGAAAAGGATTTTAAAAATAAATTTATTTTAACCCAGCAAAATATCACACCAAGTTGATATTTGGCTAGATTTGATAAAACATAGCCAGGGCTGGGTTCGGGCCAGCATAAACATTGATACATTCTAAAAATTTATTATTATTATTAACTAATTATATATATATATATATATATATATATATATATATATATATATATATATATATATATATATATATATATATATATATATATATATATATATATATATATGCAAACATCATCATGATCATCATAGCAATCTACCCCATCCTAAAAGCATACTATTTTTAATTGAAATTTATCTTATTTTAATATAAATATGTATATACTTATATAAATACTACCATGATGACGATGATGATAGTGATGGTCATGATGATGACGATGATGATGATGACAATGATAGTGATAAACATTATCATTATTTTAGTCTTCATAATTTATATTGTTTCTCTATAATATAAACAATGTCAAGCATCTTTCCTTAACTGAAGCTTGTTCATACAATATATGTAACACATTCTTTCCAACGTTTACTTGTTTCTCCTGAAGCTGTTATCCAATTCATCTGTAACCTCATTGCTCAATATACCCAAACCATCTTAATTTTCTCTGACAATCCTTGTTAGACACACTCACTATTCCTTATTATTTTTTAAGATTATTTTTATAAGTTTCTTTTCTTATCTTGTTAGAGACACACCACATATCTGTCTAATCAAATTCTTCTTTTTTGGTAAATACTACATCTTATAAATACTACACCTTATAAATACTACACCTTATAAATACTACACCTTATAATACTACACCTTATAATACTACACCTTATAAATACTACACCTTATAAATACTACACCTTATAAATACTACACTTTATAAATACTATACCTTATAAATACTACACCTTATAAATACTACACCTTATAAATACTACACCTTATAATACTACACCTTATAAATACTACATCTTATAAATACTACATCTTATAAATACTATACCTTATAAATACTACACCTTATAAATACTACACCTTATAAATACTACACCTTATAATACTACACCTTATAAATACTACATCTAATAAATACTACACCTTATAAATACTACACCTTATAAATACTACACCTTATAAATACTACACCTTATAAATAGAGAAGAGTTGTCTAAATTTGAGTCTTACCTCCTGCAAAATTCACCAGACTTGCTTGAACTCAGTGAAACAAATTTAAGTTCTGCAATTCCTTCCTCAGATGTCAGTGTTGATGGGTACTATCCTTTGATTCGTAAAGACTCCAATAGTCACATGCTAGGTTTAGGGGTATACATACGCATTAATTCCCCTATTTGTCGTGAAATCAGGTTCGAATCCTTTGACCATTCTTTTATGTGCTTTCGCCTAGCACCTCTTCACTCTATCACCTTTCTCTTTGTTCATTATCGTTCTCCTTCTTCCCATGATTGCACTCTTTTAGATGTTATCTCTGATCAAATTGACCATGCCCTCTCTCTTTACCCCTCTGCCAATATTGTTGTTGTTGGTGATTTTAATGCCCATCACACTGAATGGCTTGGCTCTAACACCACTGATCCTGCTGGCACTAAAGCCTTTAACTTCTGCATTTCTCAATCTCTTACACAGATAGTTAACTTTGTGACTCGTTTTCCTGACAACCCTAATCATTTACCTTCACTCCTTGACTTATGTCTTGTCTCTGACCCTAGCTTATGTTCAGTTTCTCCCTTTTCTCCCTTAGGTGGTTCTGACCATGCAATGATCTCTATAAATCTTTCTTCTCGTACTTCTTTTTTGGGCTCACCTTATCATCGCACCACCTACTACTACCCTAAAGCTGACTGGGATTCCTTTCGTGATTTTCTTCGTGATGGTCCTTGGGCTGATGTTTTTTCTCTCTCAGCTGACAAATGCGCATCCTACATAACCTCCTGGATTCAGGCTGGAATGGAAGCTTTTATTCCTTCGCGTCGGTTTTAAGTCAAGCCTCATTCTACTTCATGGTTTTCGCCTTCTTGTGCGGCTGCTATATCCAATAGTAATCATTTTTTTCATCTTTTTCAAAAGAACAACTCTCTTGAGAACAAACGGCTATTTATTATTGCAAGGAATCGATGTAAAAAGGTGCTTTCTGATGCTAAACTCCATTATTCTCAGTTCACTAAATCTCGCATCTTATCGCAGAAGTTAGGCTCTAAAGACTTTTGGAAAATCTTCAACAGCATTGTTAACAAGGGTAGATCTAACATTCCATCTCTTATTCATGGGACTGATCTTATTACCTCTCCCAAGGATAAGGCAGAACTATTTGCAAAGAACTTTTCTTCTAATTCCACTCTTGAATCTTATGGACATTCTCTTCCTTCCATTCCAGTCAAACAGGTTGACCCATTGTTAGACATTCAAATCACTCCGGCTTCTGTTGCTAAAGTCATATCTCAATTAAACTCGTCTACAGCTTGTGGTCCAGACAACATTCCTGTCACAGTCTTGCAGAATTGTTCTCCAGAACTTTCTTCAATTCTCTCTAAACTATTTAACAAGTGTTTGACTGAGTCTTGTTTTCCTGCTTGTTGGAAAGTGGCATCTGTGGTTCCAATATTCAAAAACTCTGGAGAAAATTCTGACCCCTCTAATTATCGTCTGATCAGTCTTCTTTCTGTTATTAGCAAGGTCTTTGAGTCTTTGATCAACAAATTCCTCACATCTCATCTTGAGTCAAATAAACTGCTGTCAGACAATCAATACGGTTTTTGATCCTCTCGCTCTACGGCCGACTTGCTAACTGCTGTAACTGAAAGATTTTATCGTGCATTAGATGGAGGCGGTGAGACTAGGGCTATTGCTCTCGACATATCTAAAGCTTTCGACAAAGTTTGGCATGTTGGTCTTCTCCATAAGCTTGCTTCATATGGTGTTTCTGGGAAAGTTTTTGAGATTATCAAATCATTTCTTTCTAACCGGTTTATTAAAGTCATCCTTGAAGGCCAACACTCTTCTTTATTTCCAGTAACTTCTGGGGTTCCCCAAGGTTCCATCCTGGGCCCTGTTTTGTTTCTTATCTACATAAACAATCTTCCTGACAACCTTTCATCTAAAGTAGCTCTTTTTGCTGATGACTCAACTTTATACTCCTGTCTTGACAAAAAGTCTTCTCTTTTCGATCGCCTAGAACAAGCAGCTGATCTTGAATCTGATCTCACTTCAGTAATAGATTGGGGTTCACAGTGGCTTGTGAATTTCAACTCTAAAAAAACCCAATTGCTTACTGCAAACAACTACCGTAGTATGGTCAACATTCCTATATTAATGAATGGCAATCCTCTTACTGAGTCGTCCTCTTTACGTCTTCTTGGATTATTGCTTACTACTGACCTTTCATGGAAACCATATATACAATCGATTGCTAAATTAGCTTCTGCTAAGGTTGCTTCTCTTTATCGTGTTCGCCATTTCCTTACTTTTGATTCCATTCTCTACCTCTACAAATCTCTTATTCGTCCCTGTATGGAATACTGTTGTCATATTTGTTGTCATATACTTTCTCTTCTTGACAAGGTCCAAAATCGCATTGTAAATGTTGTTAGACCTGGACTATCTACTAAGCTTGAACCTCTTTCCCATCGTTGTAAAGTTGCATCTCTTTCTCTTTTCTACAGATACTATCATGGTCACTGCTCAAAGGAGTTATCATCTCTAGTTCCATCAACTAAAATTCATTCTCGTTTTACTTTCGTTTCCTGTATCTGTCCCTGCATGCTCTAAAAACTTTTATTCATCTAGTTTTTTTCCCCGCACTTCAATCCTTTGGAACTCTCTCCCATCTTCATGTTTTCCTGACTCATACAACCTTCAACTTTTCAAGTCTTCTGTCAACCGTTTCCTTGCTCTATAACTCTGTTGTTTTTTTTTTCCTAGTAACTCCCAACTTAATAGTGGTTGCTTGCAGCCTTGTTGGGAGTGAATGCAAATAAAAAAAAAATTAGAATAGCATCTTAATTAAAACACATGCATTTGTTTTGGAAACAAAATGTCTTATGACTATATTTTGCATTTTACCTAATAAAATGTTTTTTAATGCAGTAGGATTTGAAATGCAAGAAATCACATAAACTTATCTTATAAACTGCTGCAAGCATGATATTGTAGTAAATATTGTGCTTTAAATATTTTTTTAAATTAAAAGGTTGAAAAAATATTTTAAGCACAATTTAGAAATATATAGTTATTTTGACGTTTTTACATAAACCTCAAGAATACTGATTATTAAATAATAATAACAAAAAACATAAAAGCTGAGGTTTTTGTACAATTTGTTATATGTAGAACTTCATTTTACCTATACAATTTTATTCCTATTATAAGTTTGGAATAAATTAATTAAATTGTCACTTGAAAGATAAAAATAATTTTTAATTAATTTCTGTTGATTTTACTGGGTATATAAAAAAAAAAAAAAAAAGCTGTTCCAATCAATCAAAGTATTCCAATTTAGGAAAATGGTTGCCTATTTTGGAACAAAATGATAACTTGACAAAACCAAATTTATTTATAATAAAAGTGCAATCATGCAAATCAATCATCAATTATGGTTAAAAGTGTAGTAGAAATTTGTTTGTATTAATCAAATTAAAAATAGTTAAAATACCAGTTAGAAAAAATTTATTCTTAAGGGGTTCCAATTTTTTAAACTCTTCTACTAAAGTTTATACAATTATCAACTTATTTTTCAATTT